GCTTCTTTATTCCCTGGAAACTTTCCCATTTCCTATCATCTGAACCCAAGCTTCTTACAGGATCAGCACTATAAGAAGGCATCTCCTCTGGGACTCTTTCCTTGGTCTATAGAAAGCCTCAAGAGCCCTAACACCCACACTGAAGTTGTATGTGTTCACCAAGCACAGAAGAGTGTTGTAGATCCCTAAGTCTAGGCATGAGCTCCCTCAGCCCAAGTTCAAACTCTGAAGACAGCACTAAAGGGGAAACAAATTCTTTACTTGGTGTTGAAAAGAATTGTCATCAAGATTCCATGTTGAATAGTTAATCAAATCTAAATCAACAAAGTTGATGCAGTGGTGAAAATATTCCAATTCATTACATTTCTGCCCTATTGATTTGTGACTAATGATAACTGGAGAATTTTACTAAACAATAAAAGTGAAAGAAACAGGAACTGCCAATGTGTCTATTCCCTTCCTCCCTCTCTTCTTCCTTCCTTCCTTCCTTCCTTCCTTCCTTCCTTCCTTCCTTCCTTCTTCACTCCCTTCATGTTTATATTTGATGAGAATGGGGTGGGTAAAAGCAGAGACAAGAAGTAGGGAAGATAAGCAATACCTGCTGAGAGATGGGAAACCTGAGGAAACTCACAACCATGCACAATGTCTAAGGCCAGACGTCTGGTCCTACCACAGGAAAAGTACAGAGAATCTTAACTCAGCAAGTGACTGACATGAGGACCCGACTTTAGTCCTTTGTCACTTCATTAAATACATTAGACAGTGTCATACTGTGTGAGCTGCTTAGGAATAAGACCGTTTAAAGGTCGAATGGAGCTTCAAAACTCTAACCTTGCTGGAGGCTTGAGACTGGCCATCTGCAGTTTTACATGCCCTTGCTGGAGAAGGAGGGGAAGGAGAAGAGGAGGAAGAAGCAGGTGGTTGCTGATATATTAGATCCCAAAGCTGATGCTGAGGAGGAAGTTGATGCAAAAGCTCTGATCTTTTTTTAAAAAAAAAAAAAAACAACTTATGTATACGCTAGTCTATAGAGATATGGGTGGAGGTACCTGCCAAGGAAGAAGAGAGCATTAGATTCCCTGGAGCTGGACTTATAGGTAGTTCTGAGCTGCTGGAGAGAGCATTGAGAACTGAACTCTGCCCTTCTGCAGAAGCAGCAAGCACCTTCAGCCTAGCTGCTAAAGGACCTCTCAAGTTCCCAAAGGCCCAGATCTTAACATAAGCTTGAAAGATGTGAACCCACCTGCGTTTCTCTGATTTGCCTGAGTGATGGGGCTCAAAACAGGTTGCAGAGGCTATTAAACAGAGGGTGGGGTGGGATGCAGGAAGGATGGAACAGCTTCCCATCCACAGATAATGATCACCTCACTTGTTCGTGTAAAAATAAACAAGTAATCCATATTTAAGCCTTACTCCAGATTTTAACATCTGGAGATGAAGCGTGGATATCATTTTAGAAGTTTCCCAGACAAACATTAATGAGCTAGCCTTCTATCTGTCACCTACTCTGACCTCTTCCTAGGTGCATGAGACTGGAGAAGCCTCAGAACCCTGGTTCCGTCCTTTGTTTTCCAAGTGATTTTGGAAAGTTGCCCAGAGGTCATCTGAGTCTCAAAATTTCAAGCTAAGGGGTCTCTTAGGTCCAGGATGAGGTGTTTATATTATTCTGACACACCTAGCCTTTTCAATATAAACATCACTCCATGGGGTTTGGGGTATACGGTAGACAATGCAGATGGATGGTTAGGTAAGATTGTGCATTTTTGTCTAAATCAGCATCTGGCTTGGGAACGATGCCCTGCCTTTTGGTCACACATAGGTTAGAATCAATGGGCTGTCACTATGGCTGGAATCTCATTCTGCATCCTGGAGACCCCTTAGCTTGAAATTTTGAAGAAGTCAGCTTTGGGAGCTTCTGCCTTTCCAGCACTGCCCCGCCCTTTCTGTTTTCTTCAGAGACGACCTTCAGTTTCACCTGTGTACCTGGCACCTTCTCTTTTCATAGGACGACTGTGCCTAGCTTTTGAGAAAACTCTGGATTCTCTTGAGCACCAATACCACCTGCTGGGTGGCATGCTGCCAGCCTAGGGGAAGAGCAAGTTTATTTCTTCCCATGGTTTGCGATATCATTGGTTGCATATTGTTTTAGTGTGGTACATAATTATGTAAACTACTCTGAAAATCTGTATATTTTATCTGTGCTTTATTATACTCAGAATATTCCCCAATTCTTTTCCGTCTCCACAAACCGGCCTACAATATATTTGGGCGTCCTTTATGTCATCTTGAAATTGAATAGCCAATTCTTACAGTAATGAAAATACTTACGCGGCAGCCTGGTGATATACAACACTACACTCTAATTACGGCTGCGCTTTAATTAACCTGAATTGAAGAGTGTTATCATTAAACTGCTGGTAACTTTGAGTTATGGCTTTTCTTTAATTTAAAGTAGAAAACACAGATAATTAAGCCTCAAGATAATCAAATGCTTGAAGAGAGCTTCAATGTTTTGGGTTGTTCCTAAATCTCATTAAATGTCCTTTCTTTATTGATTAGTTCCACCTCTGCCGAATCGCTGCATTAAAGGAATAATAGCACCAAGCTGAACGCATTCTCACTCACATCAGAAGTTGCTTTTATTTTTTTCTCATCCAAACACTTTACTGAACAAATACTAAATTCTCTGACAACAAGGTAGGTCTAAGATAGCATTTCCCTCATTAGAACGTTTTAAAGACGAGTATCAATCAAGGGAAATAATTCATATTTTACTAGTGTTGTGCCTGACACAAGTGCTCCCAAGGAAGGTGTCTTAGTGCTGCTAGCTTCCCACCCTCCTCTTCCTCTCCCTCATCTGAAAAAAAGTCAACTTTTGAAGACCAATGGTGAGAATTGCTCTCCCTAGAGGCTATAACTGGGATACACAGCTGTTGCATGACTGCACACTCTTGAGCAGGCATAGAAGGCTAATGGAGATGCCCAAGGCTGGAAACAGGTGGGGTTGACCGGGCTATTCGGGTCACTCCATCCTGGTTTAGGAGAAAGCATATACAGCCCCTTCATTGAAACAAGTGGGAGCGAGTTAGTGTTCGTCAGAAACATGGACCCTGTGTGGCCAACTCTGATTTTAAAGAAAGGATCCAGGTTTGGTTTGGTTTTGTTGTTTTTTGTGAAATACTGTGGTCCAGAAATACTGGTAACTAGCCTTGAACAAATTAAACCATGCCAAATCCATGGGTCCGGTGCACCCTAAAAGTATAGGGGGCACAGTCCTTGACTCTAGTTAAAAAAACAAAAAAACAAAAAACCTGACTTTCCCTCCCCTGCCTCCCAGGGCCAAAAGAAGAGGAGGGTTGAAAAGGCTGGAAATGACAGAGAATTCCCTGGGAGCTTTCCTGTCAGGCTCAACACTAGTTAAATCAGGAAAATTAATGGCCGAGGAAGAGAGCTTCAAAACTTCCCAACTCACATCCCTAACATCATAGGACCCCACTCTGGGTGCTGCCAACTCAGCCCTGATGCTCAGACCACCTCTGTATTAACCGTAGAGGGCTTCAAGAGCCATCTTAAAAAGCCAGCTTCTTCTGTTTCCATTGCAACGTTCTGACTTCTCTAGACTTCCTTTGAAATAGCCTCCCAGCATCCCCGAATGTTAACTTCACCCTGCCCTGAGGCAGAAAGGGAAATCGTTCTCAGGGAGGGTGCTCAGGGGAGTTACAATAGGCCTTCCTTTCCAGAAGAGAACTTCTTCTGAATCAATTACCTGTTCACTTTTCCAGTCCATTTAGCATTTAAACTATCGCTTGGAGACAAGGTGAGAAATTTCTGTAAACAACCAAACCATTTTGGAGTGCTTGGGGGTTTGGGCTCAGGGACTGGCAGGGAACACCTGCTGTGTTCTCTGACAGGAGTCTCCATTCCTCCCTTCTGCATAGAGAACGGAACATGAGTTCCAAAGCCCCTAGCTTTCCTTTACTATGAAGGGCCCTCAGGTTTGATTTAGCACCTTTAGACTTCCTGTTCTAGAATCTCAGATGGTAGGCGTGGCTGGTAAGTAGTCCACATAAAGCTGTAGCTCTTCTCTCTCAGGTCAGATCCACCTGTTTCTTCCCAGCCTTTATCAGTGACAGCATTTATTGGCTTTTGCTAAGGTGTCAGGTACTGGTGGGTCAGGCTTAGAGGTCCACAACTTTTAGAGTTTCTATTTTCGCAGGGGACGTGTCCCTTGTTGGATTTACTTCAATCCCGAGATGCTAAGTGGTAAATCTGAGGCACTGTCATGCCTCAAGGTGGACTCCTGGAACTCTGGAGACCAGGACACCTGTTCTTCCAAGGCTACAGGGTATGACCTGCTGTAGGTGTCCTGGGAACCATCTCAGGGTCTTACCGAGTACAGAAGTGCTCAAAATGACCTTTTCAAGGCCTCCTTCTGTGCACTTGGCAACATAGTTCCTCAGTAAATAGCAAAAGCACTTTGAAGATCTATGGACTTGATTAGAAGGAGTTATTAAAAGGTACAATTCATTTATCCTGGAACTGGCAAGATTGGCCTTTTTTCTCTATGGGGGCTAAGGGTGAGGCCCTGGATTCAATACCTAGTACCATAGACAGACAGACAGACAGACAGACAGACAGACAGAGATGAAATAAAGCAAAACCAGGGCCACATGAGTTTGTGCCACCTTTCAAAGGCTTCTAACTCATAGTAGTGTTGCATAAGATGTGCAGGCAAATTGCACACATTGTAAGTTTGAATAAATCGGTTTTCATCTCAAGATTTTCAGACCTAGGGGATAAATTGGAGCCAGCCCAAACCTGAAGGCAGGAACCTTGTCAGGACATGCTTTGCTGTCCACAGACATGCAGGACTGAGCCCACGCGGACCCCTAAGTGAGTATCAAGTTTCCTGATCAGTGTGAGCAGAGGTGGGAGGCAGATCTTACAGACCCGTTAAACATCCCTGAGGTGTAAACATCATCCAGCGAATGGTCACTTACTCACAAACAGTAGGGAAGGACAGACCCACGAAGGCACTGGAGAGATATTCTGTGTACATTTCATTGGAGACTCCTTCCAAGTAGTATTTCTGCCACGTATCTTCCTCAATCTAAGAGAAAAGTGCACAGGAAGAGGATTTAAAGTATAGACAAACACTGTCTGAAGGGACCAGAGTTACAGCTTTAAAGAAACAAATGCAATAATAACACAATGACCTTCCTGGTGTTAACCTTCTCAGCAGTTGACATCTCTGTAGCACCCACTGGAAGCTTCCAGTGACCCCAAAGATAATTGAATTCAGATAGATTTCCTTCAAAGCACTGCCTTGTTTTTTAAAAAAATTAATTATGTTTGTCTGTCTGTCTGTCTGTCTGTCTGTCTGTGTCTGTGTGAGAGAATGTACATGTGCATATGTGTATGTGTGTGTACGTGTGTGTGTCTTTCTGTCTGTGTCTGTATAAGAGTATGGACATGTGTGTATGGGTGTATACATGTATGTGTGTGTTTATATGTGTGACTGTGTGTGTCTTTCTGAGAATATGAGTGTGTGTGTGTCTGTGTGTGTTTCTGCCTGTTTCTGTATGAGAGTATGGACATGTATGTATGTGTATGTGTGTCACTGTGTATGTGTGTCATTCTGTACATGTCTGTGTGAAAGTATGGGCATGTGCGTATGTGTGTATAAGTGGGTGTTTGTGTGTGTGACTGTGTGTCTTTCTGTCTTTGTGAGAATATTAACATGTGTGTATGTGTGTCATTCTGTACGTGTCTGTGTGAAAGTATGGATATGTGTGTGTGTGTGTGTCACTGTGTGTGTGTCTTTCTGTCTGTCTGTGTCTGTGTGAGAGTATGGACATGTGTGTGTCTGTGTGTGTGTCACTGTATATGTGTGTGTCTATCTGTCTGTGTCTCTGTGAGAGTTTGGGCATGTGTGTATGTGGGTTTTTATGCAGAAGAAGGTGTTGTATACTGCAGCGCTGGAGTTATAGGCATTTGCAGACTACGCAGCTTGCTATGTGAGTCTTAGATCCAAACTCTTGTCCCCATGATTGTGAAGCAACACTCTTAATGACCAAGAGAGGTCTCTAAGTCCTTGCTTTGTTGTGAACCTGCATGATTTCTAAGACTAAGGGGACATGGAACTCCTCCACAATGATGGAGACATTTGTGTTAACTGACACAAATTTCTGGAGAACAATTTTTGCAGGCATTTTCAAAACTCATGGAATCATATTCTCTTTTATGCAGGTCTTCCATCTCAAATATCTACAGTAAAGAAACAAGTTATTTAAACTGGTAAAATAAAGCTGGAGTCATAAGTTTGTGCCACTCTTGAAACATGTTTTCACACCATAAGCACACAAGCATACCTTTTCTATTCATGAGATATTATAAATAAACACGTGAAATTTTAAGAATAAACGAGGGAATCACAGTGAAATCTGTATCTGTTTTCTTTGTTTATTTTATTTTTTTTCTGTATGTCTGTGTGTGAGAGAAAGAGTGAATGCCACATGGATATGAGTATAAATGGAGGCCAGAAGGCATCCGATCTGCTGGAGTTACAGGTAGTTGGGAGTCACACAGTGTGAGAATACTGAGAACTGAACTCAAGACTTATGGAAGGGCAGCGAGTGCTCTTAACCGCAGTCATCTGCCCCACTGTGATTTTATTTTTAAAAGTTATGTTAGGTTTTACGTTTATAGGGCTATATGAAAAAGTCTAGAAATATTTATAGCAGAAGAGTAGCAACTATTTTTGAGTGGCAGAATACTAGTTTTTAAAAATAGATTATGTATTGCCTGAAGACTTTTACACACACGCATGCACATGTGTACACATGTGCATATACTATGCGTTGCATTTCAGCTACATATTTTTACTTTGGGGAAAAAAATTCTCATCTTACTAAGAATATCACAATAAGAAAAATATAGTTTCAAAGGGTCCAAAGGCCCAAAACATCACTAAAAAGCATGCTTTTATTTTTTCTAAATAATAAGGTCTAGCTGGGTTTCCCAATAACTATCTCCAAGCAGTGATTTCCTTGCAGTCAATCTTTGGAAACTAGTAAATTAGACAAGAAACCTGAATCACTGTGCATTGAGGAGTCTCAGTGAACTCCTTGGATGGCTCTGTTCTGCAGTTTCCCAGGCTTCACTTCCTGTGATAGCTTAAGTAACAAGAGGACAACAGGAAGCTGTTCTATCCACAGGAAGTGGCTCTTAACAGTTTGTTGTCTCTTCTTGGGCTTTGAAGAATCCTGACCATGGCTGATCTGTCAGTGGAGAGAATTGAAACACTGGGATGTGAAGTAGATGTGGGAAACCTGGGAAAGACCAGAGGCTTCAACCATGTGGTTATGCCCTGCCCATCAAAATCCAGAATAAAAACTCAGGAAGTGAATGACACTTCTCTCTGCTGTTCATTGGCTTCATGATCAGCCTGAGCAATTAGGCCACAAGTTAACCTCCTTAGAACTAACTGATTCTGTCCACCTCTGTATGTCAGGTGTTAGCTACACAGAGCTCTGTGGAGAAACAGTTTACTCAAAGATATAAAAGTTCTACCTATTTTTTTTAGAAACCAGATATATTTTAATTAAAACATTTTTTGTTATTTACTACCTTTTATCAGTTCTTTGAGAATTTCAAACAACGTATTTTTAGCGTAGTCAAGCCCCTTTTACAAGTCTTACCAGAACTACCCCCTACCTACCTAACTTTGTGTCCTCTTTTTTTTCTTTTTAAAAACTCATCAAGTCTAATTTGTGCTGCCCATATACTGTTGCATGTGTATTCATCTACTAGAGGACAGTTGACTCACCTGGTAGTACCTGTACCTGGTAATTGACCTACCAGATACCACACATTAGTGAAAACTGACACTCCCTTTCCCAACGGCTCTCAATTGTCAATAGCTCCTTAGCTAGGGATGGAACTTTATGCCCACTTCCTGTCTTTATGCTGGGATTTTGTTTGGCTTGTACTTATACAGCTCTCTAATAACATATCAGACTTTTTTTTCTAATTTAAATATTACAAGTGATTTTCAAAAATACTGACAATATAAACCTTATCTTAACATTACTGATACTCTTCAATTAATATGGCTTTTTCATATTGATCACTTAATTATGGTCATTGTTTGTATGCCTCTGTGTATAATGAATTAATGGTTAATCAATAAACTCGGTAAATAAGTAGAAACAGACTTTTTATCGAATAACAATATTGTTATGCTTTTGTTAAACTTAGCAAAAATATTTCATTGATTCATTCGCTCAAAGTAAATATTTACTGAATATGTTCTATATTGCAAGACTTATTCTAGAGTCTGATTTAGATCTGATTTTAAACTGGTCTTTATTTTCCCACAGTTTTTCCTTATACTGGAGAAAGCACTATGTTACCTGGCTAGGATATAAGCAGCCATCCTACTAGATGCATCTGGCTCTCATTAGTTCTCCTTGCCTCTTTCCCCAAAATTTTGTCTCTGTGGCAAATGTGCAGTGTTTGTGGACTGAAAGCCAAACAACTGAGAAAAATGTTCAAAACATTCTATAAAACAAGCATCCCTCTTCCACATCCATGTAAATTCTCAGATGGTATCTACAAGACTAAACACAGTAGCATCACATCAACTGTACAAATGGTAAGGCATTTTAAATTCATTGTCCTGACTCTTTAAGACCTTCAGATCTTTGGAGCTATTTGCACATGCATAGCCTACAATGTTCTGTAAGATTTCTAATCAATGTATTGTACACATAGGCACACACATATACTCACACACTGTAAAACTGCTAATTTAATTATACTAATATCTTTTTAAAAAGACATATAGTTAGTAGGAATGTAAACTGGTTCAGCCACTATGGGAAAGAGTGGAACAGTTCTTGGAGTCCAAATATAATTGCTATACAAGCAGCAATTCCACTCCTGAATACATAACTAGAGAAAATGGGAAAGGGTCAGAACAGCATTATATACGACAGCTTAGAGTCTGAAGGGACCCAAGTGTCTATGGAAGGATGGGCAGATCCACAAAGGCATATTGTTTAGCCTTCTCAAGAAAGGATGTTCTGGCACATGCTACAGTATGGATAAACTCTGATAACATATGCTAAAACAGACCACAATCACAAAAGACAAATATTGGTGGTGGGGTACAGTTACTTGAGATCCATGCCTGAAATTCACAGAAGTGGATGGTACAAAGAGCACTGCTGAAGTTAGGGAAAGTCATTGCTTTTATGGCACAAAGTGTCAGTTTTTTAAGGTGAGAAGAAATCTGAAGATGGGTGGTGGTGTCAGTTACATAGCCCTGCAAATGTGCCAATGCATTATATGATTCTGATTATAATTGAAGCTAATACTCTTTAATGCCTAAACACAAAGATGTCAAACCATGATAGTAAGAGAACCTGAGGAAGGGAATCCTATCATCAGAGCCATGGTTGTGAACCAGGCTTGTTAGTGTTGAGATCACATTCTTGACTCTTTGACTCCTCAGGCCTTGTAATCTCCATTGAAAGAATTCAGAGGAGACATACCAGGAGCTATGCAAAGAACAGGCAGAGTTTATTAGAGAACACTTTCAAAGCCAAGGGCTAATAAAGGCCAGAGGAACTATTGTGTCCTTCTGCATCTTAGGAAGGGTACATGCTCTTTCTAAAGTGCTTTCTTCTGCTCATGGGATTGATGGGGCCATGTGGGTTAACTTGTACAGAATGCATAGTAGATATGCAGCCTTGTCTTTAACCAGAATGCCTCCTCTGACTGGACAGTAATATTATGAGCTTGACGGCAGGTCAGAACATCATGTCACTAAAGTCCCCCAAAATCAAACTTATATTCCATTTGTTACCATTCAAGACAGGGCTTATAAAGTCCCAAAACTATCTTAAGTTTGCTATGAAACTAAGAATGACCTTGAACTTAAACTTCTGACCTCCCTGCCTCTACCTCCCAAGTGCTGGGTTGATAGGGATGTATCATCACACCCAGTTTATTGGGCTATTGGGTGTTGAAGGTGGAACACTGCTGTGTAAGCACTCAACCAACTGTGTCACATACCAAACTCAGCCCATATTTGAATCAATAATC